AAAAACACATCTCGAAATTCTGATGGAAGGTTCATCGTTTCCATTCCATTCAAATCGTCCGTCGAGCTGCTGGGTGATTCAATAGATATCGCCAGCAAACGTTTCTTTGCTCTTGAAAGGAGACTTCACTCAAACGCAAACTTTCTAGAAACTTATTGTCAGTTCATGAAAGAATATGAAGACTTGGGACACATGACCGTCTCTTGTCTTACTACATCTGAGACCTCTTACTATCTTCCTCATCACGGTGTTTTCAAAGAAGAGAGTCTTACCACGAAGCTTCGTGTAGTTTTCAATGGGTCCATGCGCACAACATCAGGCCATTCTCTAAATGATCTCCAAATGGTTGGACCCACCATACAACAAGACCTGTTTCAAATCCTCGTTCGTTTCCGTCAGCATCGCTACGCTATTTCTGCAGACATTGAGAAAATGTACAGACAAGTTCTCGTTGAGCCCTGCCAGAGACCTCTGCAGCGCATTCTTTGGCGCACCTCTCCTTCGGACCCTCTGACGAGCTATGATCTAAACACCGTTACGTACGGCACTGGATCTGCTTCTTTTTTAGCTATTCGCTCATTAATCCAATTAGGAATAGATTGTGAATCTTCTGATCCCGACATATCATCCATTATAAAGCGTGACTTTTACGTCGACGACTTATTGACTGGTTCCGATAATTTGCTGCAATGCCAGAATATTTGTTTATCTCTCTCCAATATTCTCAAAACTGGATGTTTCAACCTTCGCAAATGGATCTCCAATGATCCTAGGGTCTTACAAGGTCTCCCTAAGTCAGACCTCCATCCGAGTGCACTTCAATTTGGTTCAAATGAGCATACACGCACTCTTGGTCTAATATGGTCCTTTCACTCGGACCACTTCATGTATTCCATTTCAAAATCCTCAGTTGCGGCTGATACAAAGCGCACTATGCTGTCCGAGGTTTCCCAGATCTTCGACCCCCTTGGCTTACTAAGCCCTTGCACTATCAATGCCAAAATTCTATTGCAGCGGCTTTGGTTGGAGAAACTCTCTTGGGATGACCCTTTGCCTATCCCTATCCAACTAAAGTGGAAGTCCTATCGTGATGAATTGCTCGACTTAAACAATCTTCGCATTCCTCGCCATGTGCTGTGCGAAAATTCCATCGAAGTTCAGTTGCATGGATTTTCCGACGCCTCCCTGCTGGGTTACGGCGCATGCATTTATCTTCGTTCTCTCGATAAAAACAACAAAGTTCACGTGCACCTTCTATGTGCGAAAGCCAAAGTTTCACCCATAAAACCTGTCACTATTCCCAAGCTGGAACTTTGTGGAGCTGTAACACTTTCCAAACTTGTTGTTCAAACTGTGAAATCTCTTGATTTAAAATTATCTAAAATTGTTTTATGGACAGATTCCTCTATAGTGTTGGGATGGCTGAAAACCAGTCCTAACCTCCTGAAAACTTTTGTATGCAACCGTGTTGCGGACATCCAGGAACTAACGTCTAATGCGTCATGGAGGCATGTTCCTACTCAAATGAATCCTGCAGATCTTCTCTCCCGAGGTGTTTCTCCCCTATTATTGAAAGATTCTCATT